CTATTGCTGTTCTTGATTTTACAGGAAGAAGATCAAGAGCGGCTGTACCATCGGTCGCAGTGACTCACTGTTGAGCTACGACCACTGCCACCGCCCCAAGGTTATAGGAAGGACTGTTTGCAGCGCCAGCGCCTCTAGCTGGCATGTTTTTTTCCTGTATGAACACACAGTATGTACTGCTGATAAGCTACATCACGCAATGACCCGCAGTTCAAGGAGAGAAGATAGTCCACATACCGGCAACGGTGTACACCTATTCGGGAACTCGTTGGGTTTTCTCAGTATGGATGCAGATGAGAGCCAGACATTATTATTATTGTGTGTATGCGTGCAAGCGCGTGAGTGTGTGTGTGCGCTCGCACGCGCGTGAGTGTGTGCGTGCGCGCGCCCGTGCGCGCACGTGAGTGTGTTTGCGCGCACGCGCGTGAGAGACAGACATTATTATCGTGTGTGTGGGTGCACGCGCGTGTGTGTGCGCGCGCACGCGCGTGACACTGAGTGTGTGTGCGCGCGCACTTGCGTGAGTGTGTGTGTGTGCGCGCACATGCGTGTGCTTTTGTGTAATGTAATATAACATTCCAAATATATTCACGTCATCTATTCTGTGTTCTCCTTTATGTCATTCTCTCCCCATTTGCAGGAGGGACATGGAATGACAAGTAGTAGATGCATTGCCGTTAGTGATCCTGCGGGATGTGTGGGTATGCAACCAAGTGCATGAGTGCGCGCATGTGTGCGTGCACGAGCATGTGCACAGGCACTTGTATGCTTATGCACTCGTGTGCGCACGCGCTTGTGAAATTGCGTGTCTGCGTGCGTGAGCATGTGTGACTACTATACTATGTGCCCACCAAGGTGAGCACATGTGCGTGCGTGTGTGTGGGGCGCAGGCGGATATGTGCACACATTTTAGAATGATTATCAAGGACAGAGCTGTTCCGGTAATGCAGTCATGAGACACCACAGTAGGGCAAAACGCACTCAATATGCTACTGTGCTGCTGCTGCTGCTAGAGTGCACAGCGTAATTGTTGGTACACAGCTACGTGAAATACAAGAGAACGTCTCAGCATTCTGTAAAGACTAAGTGATAATGCAAAAGGTGAGAATGTATTTCGCCACAATACGAATTGAGTGCAGTCCACTTATGTGAGATAAAGCACAAGTGAACCGATACACATTGCACGACTTGCACGGAGATAATGCTAGCCATGTTACGCAGCAAACTCCATGTACAGGAGTACGAGTGAGGAGACTATTGATCTGAGTACTGTGCGAATACAAAATTTCACACAATTTACGATATGAAGAGAACGATTCGATTTGTGAGCATTACGTAGGACTATACTGTGAAAACACTTACGGGTTGTCAGGGTTGTCTGAGCTGCTTTGGCTGCCGCTTCATTTCGAAATAGCCCAGCCAACCGGTTGCCAGATGTTGCTGATGGAGAGCGACTTCTCCAATTGCAGTAATTTCTGCTTCATCCACATTTACAGCCCGATTGGAAGCCACCGCTTGCGCTGCCATATCCTTTCCTGAAAATTTCGGCTCATGCCCGAAGCCAAACATTTTCAGCTCAGGCTCTGAGCTTTCAAGCTCGTCTGATACGTCGGAATCGCTCATGGTGAGGACGTCTTTGTCAGAACTATTCCTTTCACATACGAAAATACCGGTACTTCTGAGCTTGGCCCAGGCAAGCAAGTCTCAATGACGTAGAAGGGTGTGTTGGGGGTGTGTCGCGGCCGCATGACGTCATGGCGCGTCCCCCGAAAGTACAATTTAAACCGAAGATATCTCAGGAACGCTTGGTCGGATCGAAGTGGGACCTTCACCATTCGACTCAGCGTCCAAAACTCTACGGACCATGAAGTTTTGATTTTTGGGTGTAGTTCCCCTTTAACGTCTCCCCATCTATGCCAATACTAACAGAGATTATGAGGCTAAGGGCATATTCAATCGGCAGGATCGGGATCCCGATCCACCGGATCCACTGGATTCGCACCCTTTCGATTGGTCGAATCTGGATCCTGATCCTTCAGATTTGGATCCGGTTAACTCGTTGTTGTACACATTGTGGTACGCCCGTGTGGATGGAGACAGAGCTTGTGGACCTTTTGCACAACTGGCGCGGTGAGAACGACTTTTTATTACTTCGTCAACATGGCAACAGTCAAGGCCCAAAAAAGTGTCCAGTTGTCTCTAAAGAATACAACGGATCTGAGATCTGGATTCCGATCAAGATCCTTACCAATCAAACTTACCCTAAATGTGCTGATCTTAAAAATCAGGATTTCATTTCAAAATAGCATTTTACAGTATGTGAGACAGGCTTTTTCACCGGACATTACAGTAGTTTTGGAGCCTGAGACAGATGGCAAACCTGTTGTGCGTGCTTTGTCTGTGTTGGATGATGTAGTAGAAGAGTATTTTGATGGGGCACGAAACCTCGTTGGCGGGCCGAGCCATTGAAACAACTCTATAGCTTCCATGTTTGCACGTGTGTGTATGTGTGCATGTGTGTGTGTGTATGTGTGCATGCATGTATGTGTATGTGTGCATGTGTGTGTGTGTGTGTATGTGTGCATGCATGTGTGCTTTGGTATGTGTATACTGGTGTGGTGTCTTTCTTTTGACTTTTTTGACTGGAGAAGTAGTCACCACAATTATTCCAGGTGAAAATTCCCAATTGAGCACTGGGGCACTGGCAGGAATTGTCATTGGAAGCTTATTGGCAGTTGCAGTGTTTGGCGGTGTTGTGTTAACCCTGGCAAGGAGAAAGTCTCGTGGATTGAGGTATGTGCAAGTTACTGCATTACTCCGTCCATGTCTCTTTTTTAATTAACACTTGCGGCGTTAAAGGGGAAGTTAAGGCAAAAATTAAAATTTCACCAGTTGTAGTCTTCGGGGTGCTGAGTCGAATGGTCGTGGTCCGAGGAAGCTGAGACGCTCCCTTCCTACTTGAATTCCAATCGAACTCGCGCACTTCCACCGAAACTGGGTGACTGCGCCCTACTAGATGGGGATTTGTATGCAAAATGTCACTAAAAGCGCCATTTCGTTCTTAGAAAAGCACGGATGACCGCGACTGGCCCATATGTTGTAGTCTTTTGGACGCTGCGTCGACTGGTTTTGGTCCGAAAAGGCTGCGATGCAGCGTTCCTCCTTTATTCCCAATCGAACATGCTTGAACAAGCGGTCACGTGCTCCTGGGTGCCCAAATCACCTGGTCATCACGCCAGCAGGCGACAACTTTCACACCAAGGTTCAACTCGAGTGACAGGACTGCACCCAAAAAAGGTCAAACAGGCTAGTAAGTTGTACCCTGCAGGCACGGTGGCCAGGTGACTGGCGTACGCAGGAGCACGTGACCACTTGTTCAACCATGTTCGATTGGGAATAAAGGAGGAATGCTGCATCGCAGCCTTTTCGGACCAAAACCAGTCGACGCAGCGTCCAAAAGACTACAACATATGGGCCAATCGCGGTCATCCGTGCTTTTATAAGAACGAAATGGCGCTTTTAGTGACATTTTGCATACAAATCCCCATCTAGTAGGGCGCAGTCACCCAGTTTCGGTGGAAGTGCGCGAGTTCGATTGGGATTCAAGTAGGAAGGGAGCGTCTCAGCTTCCTCGGACACGGCTGTTTCAGCCAGCGATTTTTGGCCATCTAACATGGCGGGGGGTACCCGCTGATTTTTGCAAAAAATCAAAGATTAATCATTTTTACGTTGAGATTAAGGTGAGTTGCTATCATTCTTCCGCGATTTACCGCCGCTAGCCCCACATTTTTGATACTAAATCCGCGGGAGTGGAAAGCTGACGCGCACAGCAACATTTTGGTACCAAACATTCCTTGATCGGACGAAGGAGAAGGAAGTTGCTTTCTGTTTTGGCGCAGTGGAATTATCGACTGAAATTGCTGTCAGTATATTGTTAGCTACCTTCATCACGCTCGTGGTACGTCTTCTGGAGTTATTCAGTCACCACTCGAGGTTTTCCTCGCATCCTCGGGTAGTTGTCCGTTATATTTTCGCAAGTTCTTTTGAATACGATGGTGAAATCAAAAATACGATGGGCCTTTACTTTTCTCTGTTTCCAGTGAGAGATATGCACATGTGCGACGCATCGCACGACATGGAGCACCATGCAGCGCATTTACAGCATCTATGCCGTGTTGGAGGCGCAAAATTTACTGCGTGCTCCCAACAGACGAGATATCCAGTGTCTGACTACACTGAAACGATGAAAAACGTATTCAGTATTGATGTTTGTAATGACGACCCTACCATTCACCCAACATATATCTGTGCTCTTTGCCAAAGAGTGCTGAAGAGATCACAGAGCACAGAGAAGTTCAATCCCAGTGGCGGTGGTTGTGGACAAGGGGCAACATTTAGTTAGAAAAGACCTGAACCTGTGATTCGCAGGGTCTGCACCAAGTTTCAAGAAAAATCGAAGGGTGGCCGACCAAGCAAACGGATAAAAACAGCAAGCGGAGCATGCAGCAAAAATGACATCAAGCAGTAGCAGTGCATGTGCATCTAGCAATAAAAGTAAAAAGTAAATTATCGTGTCCGTTCCCGAAGGGAACTCACGACGGCCGCTAACACCCGGTAAACCCTATGCATCTAGCAATAGCATGGATATACCTGAAAGTGAGGCGTATGACATATCTGCACCTGATTATGAAGCAGAGTGCAATTTGACTATGTCAAGATTTGCCGACAGCAGTGCAGCAGCCACAGTACAATGCATGATCTGCCGCAGCATGCCGAGCAATGGTGTTCGGTCACCATGCTGTTCTAGAGTATTTTGCACGAAATGCATATGCCACACGTTAACTAACGGTGCGCAGTGTCCAGCCTGCCAACATACCCTGCGTGCTTCAGAACTGGCAAAGCCAAGCGACCTGTTCTGTCAACTGCTTGCGAACTGGTCCGTCCACTGTGGATCAAACTCGGTGGTGATCACGGCGGAGGATCTTTCAAGTTTGTCCTGCAGATCGTGAATGTGCAGCGGCCGAATTCACTCCTCAACACTATCCCGATTTGCATCTTCGAGGCACAAGACACGCCATCGAACCTTGAAACCGCGCTAGGAGTCTATCGTGACGAGGTCAGAGATCTGCAAACAACAGCAACATGGAAGAACAAGTCGTTCAAATTGTTTTTCTTTGGCGACTACGAATATCAAACGAAAGCATATGGTTTGTCGGGGTCCAGTGGCACCGACCATGCTTACACTGTCTATGTCAGAAGAAGAATATGGACATTCCACCAGCCCTAAACCCAGATGCCGATTCTACCAGCAGAACACTAGAAACTCTGTACAACGATTTCACTGGATTCACGAACAGTGGCTCAAATCTAAAGAATGCAAAGAACTACAACAACAGCATACGTCCAGTGATCTTACCTATTCCCGAGGAGAATGTTGTTATCGCGGCTCTTCATCTGGATCTGGGTATTTTCCCATGGATGCTGACTGCTTTTCAGGCTGAGCTCAAAGCCCTCGACATTGAGCTTGCCAGAAGAACAGCTGCTGCAGACACCGCCGTTCCTGCCGCCGTTGCTACTACAGCAGACACCGCCGCTGTTTCTGCTGCCACTGCCGTCGTTCCTGCTGCCACTGCCATCCCTGCAGCCGTCCCTGCAGTCGTTCCTGCTGCCGTCCCTGCAGCCGTCCTTGCAGCCGTTCCTGCTGCCACTGCCGTCCTTGCTGCCACTGCCGTCCTTGCTGCCACTGCCGTCCCTGCAGCTGCTCCTGCAGCCACTGTCGCTCCTGCAGGCGTTCCTGCTGCCACTGTCATCCTTGCAGCCATTGGATGAGGAGATTTCTGCAGTTACCCAACAACTACATGTAGTGCAGCAGCAAGTCCAGTACACTGTTCTCTTTTCTCAGCTTGATACCTGCTGCCACAGTGGAGGGCGTGACACAACACCTACAAGACCAGTGGAAGAATGGTGATGCACGCCGTACTGTATTGCTTGCGTGGAGACAGTCACTCACCGACCAAATGGCCGCAATAAAACAGAACAAAAAGTGTGAGGGGCCATGTTGAGCAAGCATCGAGCCAGTTGTCCAGCGCAATGGAATCGATAGGCAAGCATACCATGGAGGTGCTTTTGTGGGCAACCATGTGCACATAGCTCTTCAGCCAGCAGTGACAACTGAAATAACCCCAGCACATTTATCTGCAGTAGCTTCTCGTGCGCCGCTGCTGCTCTGCTGCTCCCAGAGGCAAATCGAATTCATGAGGATTACCAGCACCTGATGTCCCTGTATGGCGAGTGCACTGCCCTCTTCAGCCACTGCAGGCCTGTGGACGAGGCCACCATATCCAAGCTAGAAGGCTTGGTGGAGACATTTATGACTGCATGCCGAGATATCGTCGTCAGCAAAAAGCTCGGCCACATCACGCCGAAATTGCACATGTTGGAGGTGCATGTCGTGCCGTCCATCCGACGGCGAGGCGTTGGTCTTGGTCTCCTCGCAGAGCAAGGGAGTGAGAGCATTCACGCCCGCTTCAACGAGCTAAGGAGACACCACGAGGCCATCCGCAATCCCTTGGAGCGCCTCAAGTCTGTTGCACAGACGCATTTGATTGCAACTCTCCCACAACACGAGTCGCTCCGTCCAGTCAGCAGGAAGAGGAAATCCTCACAGTAAAGTTAGTGTATCTCTGCATCTTGTTTGCTGGCCTATCTGAAATTCTCGGCCTTCCATCGAGCTCTTTTAGCTTTCTCTACTCTCAAAATAATTCAGATTGTTTCCTTTGTTCTCATCTCAATCTCTTTCCTCACAAAATTTTTTGGAGGCGATCGAGGACGCGTCTGACGCGCGTGTCAGCAAGTACAAAAATTCGGTTCGTCATGGTTTCGATGTGAAAATGTAATAATTCGCTTCGTATTATAAAATACCGTTGGGATTTGTCAAAAACGGCGCAAAAGCCGCCATATTGTTAGATGGCCAAGTGGAAACAGCCATGCGGACCACGACCATTCGACTCAGCACCCCGAAGACTACAACTGGTGAAATTTTAATTTTTGCCTTAACTTCCCCTTTAAGAGAGCATGTCTGAGAATACCAAAGTATGTGTGCAAGTGGATCTCTCCGATTTCCCTCAAAATTTGCAGGTAGGTTCCCTTTGGGGTGTGGATCGATTATGCAAAGCCCTTGAAAAAGTTTCTGAAGGGAACCTTGAAATTTGCATACCCCTCAAAAATGGCCGAAATATCACATTATTTATGGGTCTAGAAACGAGTCACGCCACAGCGTATACGAACAAGCTATGAACAAAACTCCATCAAGCCAACATTGCCTCACCTTAGAAGAGTTCCTGGAGCAGTACCGCTTAGCCACGCCAGCATCCCAGAAGACGAGGTCCATCACCCCCTGACGCCACAAATGATCGTCTTGAAAATAGCCAATTTACAAGCGCTGGCAAAACAGCCAGCTACGTCCTCAATTGGCCAGATCTATACACCGGCAGATAGTAGAACACCTCTTCTAGCGCTGAGGACATGTCCCCCATCTTCCTTTTGGGGTTTTCTTGAAATAAACTTTTTTGAATTTTTCCACTCGACCATGCTGAAATACGGCCAAAGTCATACCTGCGCAGGAAAGCTCGCCACTCCGCGACGTCTCCTCAGCAATTTCTACTCCAACACTACTCCCAAGGCCGCAGAACAACGTGTAGTGTTGACTCTGACAAGGAAAAGCAGCGGTGATCACTTGTCACTCCAAACGACAAGCTTCTCCTGCGCCACCAATATTTTTTTGTGCGACTGTGGCTGCAAAAGTGACTGAAGGCCTGAGCGCAGTTTTTGAATTTTATTGCAAGATGCACGGTGAAATCAGGTGCCTTGTGACGCAAGAATGCCAAGTCGCGTGGCCCACGGCTCACGCGATTTCAGAGTCACCTTTGTCAAGTGCGCTTGTTACTCGCCTTGAACGCCCGTTGGTCTGGAAGTGATCACACTTGTGTTGTTACCATGGTTACGGCGCTCAAGAACACGCTGACCGTGTTGTAGGCCTACGAACCGGGACTTTCCCTGACCATGTAGGTCGAAGACCAGTCAAAATGATGATGAAATCACATTCTTTATGACGTAAGAAATCTCTCATGCAGTTCACGCGACAAGTGCGTGCAGCCAGTGCTGCTCGCGTGCCAGTCAACACAAAGGGACCGAGCTAGTCGCTTTTGGCGAGCATCGACATGAAAACAAGGGACTTTTACTGTTGGACTATGTTCGGGATTGCAGGAGGTAAGTGTGAAAGACGAATAACTCTCCATGCTGTACGGGGCATATTCCAACGGCTTGCTGCCATTGCAACACTCCTAGGACAGTTTGTGGGGGTTCTCAGCAGTTCAAGCAGGAAATGAAGCTCATCTTACCTCTGCCATCATGGTCTGTTCCGAGTAGCGTTCCAGGCACATTCGCGATCGATGGCCGCGTAACGTGATGCAGGAAGCGTCATCCTACGTCACAGAGCACGCGATCTCACCGTGCATTTTGCAATAAAATTCAAAAACTGCGCTCAGGCCTTCAGTCACTTTTGCAGCAACAGTCGCACAAAAAATTATTGGTGGCGCAAGGAGAAGCTTGTCGTTTGGAGTGACAAGTGATCACCGCTGCTTTTCCTTGTCAGAGTCAACACTACACGTTGTTCTGCGGCCTTGGGAGTAGTGTTGGAGTAGAAATTGCTGAGGAGACGTCGCGGAGTGGCGAGCTTTCCTGCGCAGGTATGACTTTGGCCGTATTTCAGCAGGGTCGAGTGGAAAAATTCAAAAAAGTTTATTTCAAGAAAACCCCAAAAGGAAGATGGGGGACATGTCCTCAGCGCTAGAAGAGGTGTTCTACTATCTGCCGGTGTATAGATCTGGCTAATTGAGGACGTAGCTGGCTGTTTTGCCAGCGCTTGTAAATTGGCTATTTTCAAGACGATCATTTGTGGCGTCAGGGGGTGATGGACCTCGTCTTCTGGGATGCTGGCGTGGCTAAGCGGTACTGCTCCAGGAACTCTTCTAAGGTGAGGCAATGTTGGCTTGATGGAGTTTTGTTCATAGCTTGTTCGTATACGCTGTGGCGTGACTCGTTTCTAGACCCATAAATAATGTGATATTTCGGCCATTTTTGAGGGGTATGCAAATTTCAAGGTTCCCTTCAGAAACTTTTTCAAGGGCTTTGCATAATCGATCCACACCCCAAAGGGAACCTACCTGCAAATTTTGAGCGAAATCGGAGAGATCCACTTGCACACATACTTTGGTATTCTCAGACATGCTCTCTTAAGTCATTGATGATATATGGCCTACATCAGTGGTCCGGTGTGTGAAATAAACCAGTCAGCATTGCTGTATCTGAGATAATTTCCTAATACCTGTATGCATCGTCGACCTTGTTAGCTAGATATTGTGCTACTTGGACCTGTTCTGTGCGATAGGTTTTGACGTGCTTGCACGATAAGCGCTGTGCTTGTATTCTTCAATACCTCTCTACCATGTGCATATATAGGAGAAAGCGCTTATATTGGAGACAGTGCTTACATTTGTTTCAACCAATACAGTCAACTTCGCATATAACCACACACGGCGGGGCATCAGAAAAGTGTCCTTATTCGCGAAGTGTCATTATACCCGAAGTCTCTTTATATGTATTACAGTTGGATAGGACTTTGCTCTGGGCATGGAAATTCTGTTGTTATTCGCGAATTGTCGTTATATCCGCTGCCGTTATTAGCGAAGTTGACTGTACATCCATGCAGAGCAAGAAGTAATACATGCTACATATCATGCATACAGCATTGATTTCCAACAAGACTAATAATAGAGACTGTGTATATTATGTTTCGAACGGTGCTCACAGTGTGCTAGTATTAGAGACTGTGCTAGTAGTGGAGACCTGTGCTTAAAAATAGAGAATATAATTATGGGAAATCCGTATCTCGAATTGTGCCCTCTCTCAAACAGTATGCCTGTCTCTAAGAGCCATTGAAAACATAATGCGCACTCTTGCATGGTGCTCCCTACTTGGCATTGTGGTCAAGCCGACATGTACAGATTTGGCGTTGTTTTGCTAATGACCTTGTCCAAGTAATTGTCCATGTGGATTTAGGATCAAAATCGTAATTCCTCGTGCAGGTTCTGTTGAGTTGTGATAGATTATACTTGTTTTGAGGTAATTTATACAAAAGAGAAAGGACCAAGGAACTGCATGTTACGCTATACTGTCCACTAACACCACCAGTTACTAAACAGTCAGCTCATGCGATAACATTGCACGACACTGACCAATGGTACTGATGTTTTACAACTAACTGGTTAACAGCTCTAGCACATCTTGGATGCGCACTGCAACAGCCTTCCAACTTGGAAGGTTCTAAGTTATAGAAATAACATGAGGGGAGAAAGGCATCCGAGTGCACTCTAATATTGAGGTTGTTAACTTTCGACTCTCTTTTTTACTTCTTTTATGGTGGATGATGTGAATGTACCAACATAAAACAAAATGCATGTACACTGTAGTACACCGCTTGAGCAGTGCCCCGTCGGTGATGGACTTTGAAAGAATAGTGCCCCACAGGCTAATCAAGCGAGTACAGTGATTTCACGCCATAAATGGATCAGCATTAAATATCACGCCCTATTTACAGCAAGAATTATTGTTGTTCCTCCTTACCAGCAAATGAATAGCTAAATGATTGCCTCCGTCTCTTTTTACCCTTGGAGTTTACTTCAGCTGGGTATCTTCCACTTTCAATAAGTTCCAGTAAGATTGCATTTCTTCTGCTACTTCTCCATCTCCATAAGATTCAACCTGCTCTCCGTAATTCGAGCTGACTAAATTGTTTGAGTCACTCATCTCGGCATTGCCACGCAGGAATTGGTTACACAGGAGCTGCTGTTGCTGCTGCTGTTGCCGCACAAGCACACGCTTGCTCCTGGGAAGATGAGCCGCCAAAAAAGAGCTCCGTAACTTCAGCAACGTTGATTTCGATTGGTTCTGCATTGTCCTCTTCTTCATCAGAAATTGCATCGCTGTTTTCGGGTGCTGCACTTTCGCTCGGGTCAAATACCTCGTCTGGCTCGCACTCTGAGTGAGTCGCCAAAAGATTCTACATCCATGTCCTGAAGAGCTTTGGCTAAAGCCTCATCCACAGTAAAGTAAATTTGTAATAGAACAGAGAAGTCAAGCAGGTCAGGAGACAAAATAATTATTTCGTTCATAATTAGAACGGAGCTCGCGCCACCAAAAAAAGGCAGTTTCTGTTGTATGGAGCTCCGCCGTGCTTTGCCGTATCAGGCCGGTTGAAGTATCTACGGAAAGCGGGGAGTCTCAGCGGTGCGCTAGTGTACATACCAGCACTGTAGGATGCACACTCACACTGCAACGATCGAAAAATGACGTCGCGTCAATATTCACTGATGCACATGACAGGTACATGACAGCCTGTCACTCTGACGCACTTTACTCGATTTGCTGTGTGATGCCATAAGCACCCTTTTTGCATCTGACGGCTCATATTGCTTTTGTTCCATTAGTAGTGGCTCTTATTTGAGCAGCTAGATCCGAAAAAGTGGGCTTATGTCATTTTTGAGCATGTTGAGGTATCTTTCCATGGCATTGCTGTATCGAAGCAGATCACTCTGTAAAGACCTAGGTCCAAAATATGCACCCTAAGCCTTCACAGAGCTGCGGGTGTTTCAATAAATGAATTATCCATCGCTTTATGCGGAAAACTTCACTTTCACATGCATATTTCTCAGCACTGCGTGAAACGACATAAGCCCCTTTTTCGGATTTAGATGCTCATTTAGGACTTACTCAGGTGTCCCTGGATCCCTTCGTCATGTTGGGCTGTTGTTCAGCAAGTGAAGATTCGTGGCGGCTTCATTCGAGTTTCTGCGAAGGCAGGGATTATTCCCATGATGTCTCAGGGCTGGTAGCGTAACTATAATAAAACGGAAGTGAAAGCGTGCCTGCATGTACAAACACTCCTGCCCACACAATCACATGAATTTACCGCCATGTGTACTTTAACCATCATTTCGTTGCCTCTCATTATGGTGCTGTTTTAGAGTTTTCTGGTGATTCCGTAACTTGGATGCATTTTGTTGTCGCGAAAGCTAAGTAGGTCTCTTCCAGTTTTAGTCAGTCTGAGTTCCATCATTTTCTGTGTACTTGGTTCACATGTGATGTAGGAAAAATATTTCTCTAAGGATGCTACTGAAACAATGAATCCTGATTTGCTCTAAAATGGAGGTAAGACGTTCCATGAGTTTATGGAGAGAGTACATGTGATCACTTTATGTAGCATTTTTTCTATGCAAGGTACGGAATACGTCGTCAGAAGGGGTGGGGGTAGGGAATAATGCGCCCCATTCACAACTCTCAGTTGGTTACTGGTATAATATAGAGTGTTTCCCGGAGAGAAAGGGAGGCATTTTTATTCAGCTCCGCCCTAACGTTATAGACAATACTTCTAGCACTCCAGCAAGTCGGAGAGGGTTACTGCACCGGACTTGTAGGCCGGAGAGCTCGTTGCAGACAATGGAGCACAGGACCCATTGAGAAAGGTATCATCAACGGAGTTGCGGGCCAACACAGTCACATTTCCTGCTGAAAAGGTTACCTAGAGCATGGGCTACACCAGCTTCCCGGAGCAGCACAGTGTCTCTGCTGACCACGTCTTATCTTATACAGGTAAGCACTGCTGTCCAGTGCCGACTTACGTATCACGTACAGTTGACTGCTGCTACCGTCCTCCAAACACAAATCCGTATGCGTTTCTGCCAAGAATACGAGCCCTGTATAGGTCTCTGAAATAATAACTCTCCATTCTATTCGTAGGAGATATAAACACAAAGCACAAATCTTGGCTTGCCACAGATAGTATTGATAAAGCTGGTGACCTATCGACCAATTCATTGGACACTGCATTTCCGGCCTGTATTTGGAGAGGGAATGTGAAGTCCTTACTCATCTTAGCCATCTCCAACTTACCAGAAAAAGATCTACCTGTTACATCTTATCTTGGAATAACTCGGAAAACTAACAAGTTTCCTGGTTCCTCCCCTCCCTAATCTCTTTCCTACCCCTAGGGTTTTTGCTCTCCTGCTCCCTGCACTTCCACTCCCCGATTCGTTTCCTTTGGTGAACATGTGCAGCTGTGATGTCCAGACCCTTGGTCGGCGGAGCTTCACAGGTCCCACCCACTCCGTCCTGCTGGATATGTACCATTGTGTCGAGTTCTCCTCATTTTAGTTCATCATGCAGTGAATGTTCAATAGTTAAAAAATCTTAACCCCTGTTGGAGCATCAGATGACTTACTTGTCGGAGGACTTCTGTCTCTTGCGTGTGTGTTAAACTGGAATCTAGGTACGTATGTAGCTAATTAAAAAGATGAGCTACTTCTAGACAGCCGAGAATCAGCTGGCCTGTCAAACTGCACGGACAAGCCCTGTGACCATTGATTTGACTATCTCGGCCGGCACTCTGTTTTCTTTTACGTATCTGTGCATCTTATATGCGGTAGCATACGTGCCAACCGTCCAGGGTTTTCCGGGACAGTCCAGTGAATAGGGTGTTTGTTCCGGGGTCCCGGGATGTCCTGCGAAAGTCCAGGGATTGAGATGGAACTTTTGAAATCGAAGTTCTCTTTTTTATGATACATTTTCAGTGTATATTAAAACTTGAGATCGTGTCTAAGTGTACTGACAAAAAGTTTAAACATCCACGTGGAACTGCAATGGATCGCCGGATAACAGTAGTCAACCGAAAGTTTACTAGTGCAGTTACTGCTCAATGCAATGACATCCCGTTTGATTGAGAAGTAGTCATGACAATATATCTGCTAATGATGAATGCACTAAACAAATTGGTGTCCAGGGAAAACGAAAATAATCAAGGGAATTCAGCCTCGTTGTTCAGGGAAGTCAAGAGTCCAGGTTGGCATGTATGCGGTAGGGATATGGAGATTCCATGATTCAGGGTGTTTGCCCGGGCAAAGGTAGTGAGTATACTGTAGTCTAGTTGGGCTACTTTTCTCTTTTCTCTTTTTCACTCGATTACAATGATTCTTGCTTTAAGATTGCACAGGAGAACAAACGAAGAAGAGACTTTCTGACCTGCTTTTAACATTTTTCACTAGTCTCGAAGTAAAATACCAAAACAAAGGTCCTACTTTTACCGCCACAGCCGGAAGTCACATCTCTCATCTATCCCAACTTCCTTATGCAATATTATAAAAAGTATGTCCATCCAACACCCCAGCAGCATGTCGAAACTTGGCCCTAGAATTGGGACTCAGATTGTGTAGTGGCACTGATGCGATAATAATAATAATAATAATTCAAAGGCCATTTTAACGAGAAATGATTTATGTACACAAAATGCATTTTACGAGGTCAGTACATTACACCCCCACCCAAGATGAAGCCGAGAGCAGTTGCTGAAGAACGCCAAATGGAAAAGATCTTAGAAAGGAAAAAGAAAGAGTGAGCGACGTGTACAAACCGGAAAGACGGAAAAGAAAAGTACACAAAGTGAAGAAATGAACTGCACGTCTAATACCGTTGTGTATTACGTAAACACAAGGTCTGAAACAAGGTAGAAAAATGCAGGCAAGGGAAAAAGGAAACATGCGTGACAGAGGTGGAAGTACGTTTCAAACGCAGTCTAGAGAAAGAAAGTGGAGAAAAGAAAAAGGGAAACGTATGCGTGACAGAGTAGGACGGAGCTTGATCTTGTCAGAGGCGGTTGCTTACTCTGGGAGATCTTGGCTGATTGGCGGATCAGCGGATGGTGGATGGTGGGCAGAGGAGGTCGAAGGCCTACTCCATGCCATCCATCAAGCACTAACAACTCCGACTCAGTGCAGTGTCAGGGGTCACCATTATTATGGTGCTTTATGTCAACCATGATGGTTACAATGGCCAACCACACCACAACGAAGTTGTGGCCAAAGAGAAAGTTCATTTCTTTCCATACGAAAATATATACAGAGACAATGTTTTACGAAAATAATTTCATATACAAAATGCATGTACGAAGTCACTACAGGTGCACATGCGCGCGAGGTTGTACGTTATCTCTTTTTAGGACCAATTTCGTTTGCAACATGACACGAACAAAATTATTATTATAATTATTATTAAACTCAATCTCGTAGCATGTGCACGCATTGCTAATGTGGGGAGCAACCCCAGAGATGAGGGCGATAACCAGCCATGGTAAAAGTACAAAAGAAGACAAGAAAACAATGGAAAGAAAGGAACAGGGAGGAAAACAAAGCTCAGCCAAGAAAGGAACAGGGAGGAAAACAAAGCTCAGCTAATTAAGTGAGATAGCCGGAAATTACATTGTTTAGCTAAACACGCGTGAGTGCTGCAGGAAAACGCAACTCAGTACAAACAACTTGGCGAAACTGAGACATGCTGTGGCAGTGGTGGGCGAGGCTTGATAGCTTGAGCCAGTCAGAATAGGGATGAAACAAAGGGGATTTTGTAAACTGGACAGTGCAAGCTACAGGTTGCGAGACTTGTGCCCTGGTTGAACGGCTCCGCACAAACCAGTCATAGGGAAAAAGATACCTTGGTACTTTCTCGAGTTTTATCTTTTGAATTAGCATGCTGCTGTGGAGACTGCGTCAAATAGAAAGGGGGCAAGCACGAGCGAGAACATAGAGTTGTGCAGAGGAGAAATCACGGGGCAAGCAAAATAGCATTTAAAATAATTTTCGTTGGCAAACTTCGAGCTTGTCTGATATCGTGGTTGATAACCCACACCACGCTACGTCACAGTAGTCGACGATCGGACAAATATACAAAGAGAAAAACAGAGATCTACAGTCGTGAGGCAGATAACAGCAGTGAGGCTTCAGAGTTCCTAAAATTCTGGATGCTTTAAGGCAAATATGGTCAGCATGTTCGGACCATGATAGCTTCGAGTCAAGAATGATTCCCAGGTGCCGGAGAGAAGTTACAACTTCCAGGGCCTGGGTGCAGTT